GTCCTGGAAAATATGGTGCTCCAAGAGTTGTGAGAGTAAGAACCTCCATGGGTGAGAGTACATGTCCTTTTTCATAATTTATCCATTAGAAGTGTTGGCAAAAACTGATTTTGATGTCTTGAAGGCTTGAAGGATGAAAAATGACATATCTGTTGATATGATATTCCAGACTCTTCCATTGGAAACACATACCACTAAAGTGAAGCATCCTCCCAAAAGTAGATCAGGGAGAACTATAAAAATTCCTCATCCGAAGACACTTGTGAACTTTGTTTTTTATTTAAGTTACACAATTGATTACGATTTAAGTTTACATTCACAAATTTGAAAATTCCGCTTGCTCTAAATTTGAATTGCATAGATGGGAGTATGTTACAGATTGTAAAATAATTAATATCAGTTTTTAACTACTGCTTCACCTGTGAATTTCAACTTAAGTTTTTCTTTTACTTTTCCCTCTTGTGGAATGGCAATGCTAGTTGTGGAATTCTAATATTGGTAGAATGTAGTATTATACTTACCTAGAATTTTTAATTAACAGTAGTAACTTTAAGCTGCATTTAACTGAATAAATAGTTGTTAAGTTTTAATGTTATCATATTCATTCATCTGGATAACTTGTAGTTCATTGTGATTTAAAAGCCATCCATAACTTTTTATTCTGCTGCTAAAGATGTAAAAAATGTTAGTTATTTCAGTAAGCATGATGAAGTTTGATTACTTACAACTATATTTATTTTAAATTGTACTTCTCTGTCTATTGATTTTACAATTTTTCCTTTCAAAAGCTCCATCTGTTTATACTGACACTAATACTTGCACCAACTGTCAGCAAAATAAATATATTGCAGTTGTCCATCAAAATTATTATTATTGATAAAATTTCATGTATGAAATCTCCGTTAAACTGGTTTAATGGAAGGAAAATTCATTTATTTCCTTTTAATTGGTAATGTTCAGACAATGACAGGTAAGGGTTGTATGATTCATTATAACATAAGCTGCTTTGTAATCACATTTGTAATGAGCATGACTGATAGATTACAGCAGCATTTTCTAGAATTTTGGTATCTTTCTATTAATTATACAATCATTCATGTATAAATATAAAATTATTATAAAAATGTGGGTTTTGTGATATTTACATATAAATTTATGTGTTTTCAGTATTTTGTTGATGATTAGCAATTTGAAAACGTTTTGCAGGTGTCTAAGTTTGCTTAAATTCCGATCATACAAGGCATTCCTTAAATTTGAACAGATTTTTAAAAAAAATCAGCAATTTGGCACATGAGAGTGTTGTCTGCATCTTAAGACGTATCAAAGAGGCGATTTTTTAATGACATGACATGCAATTTAGTTCAGATTTTCACCAATAGTTGGTGGTGTACCATAGATATCTCAAAAGTATACAAATTTAAAATGTGTGTGACTGAGATTCATGTTGAACAGCTGATAATTAGTAGTTTTGATTTTCAATTTTTTTTTTTTTTTTTTTTTTTTTTTTTTTTTTTTTTTTTTTTTTTTTTTTTTTTTTTTTTTTTCAAAGTGATATTTTGAATGTTTTAAACTACTGAATTGCAGCTTTTTTTTTTTTTTTTTAAAGTTTATCTGTAGATTTTTAGCAAATAATTTTCACATTGTTATGTATTTCTAGATGAGTAGATTCATATACATATATCATTTTCAGAAAAATTGAGTTCGAAATGGAAGACTTTCTTGGTTAAAAATGTATTCTTATAGCCATTGGAACATTTGTTTGCTTTAATGAATCATGCAATGCTGGTAAAGGAAGGTTGAGATATGACACTATTCTAACAACTGCTCCAACTTCATTCTACAATGGAATGAAAAAATTACTATAACGTTGGGGAAAATGTATAATAAAAGAAGGGAATTATATACAAAAATAATTTGTAGAAATGTAGCTGTTTCTTGTAAAATAAATTTTGTGTATACAAAAGGCTTGTTTATATTTGATTGACCCTTGTATTATAACAAATGTGCTATTGATATAAAAAAACTGCAAATATACACAGAACTGCAAACTCTCTTGGTTTATCATTACATCTCCTGGTAGGTCACTGAATCTCCTGATTTTTTAGTCTTTATTATGGAAAGTATTTTTCAGGGATTAATGAAATTAATTGCAAAAATTACATTCTTTGACCCTTATTGATTTAAGCGTAATGTCATTTTATCTAAATTCCTTCTTAACTCTAGGCATTTTAGAACTTTTCTTGAAGATTCAGTGTTCAGTCAGTTAATATTTGTATTGTTTAACATGAATGTATGGTGCATCATAAAGTTTTCCATGCAATACTGTGTACATTTGTATTTTGAAATTACTTGGATAAGTAAAAGCATTCTTTTCGTAATTAGGATTTTCTCAATATAAAAGTCTAAGAAACTTACAAAATGAAATCAGTCAAAGATTGTAAAATTTTGAATATCTAATTAAATACAAATGTATTTTACATCAAAATCGTATTTAACCTGAATTATGAATTGTAAAATGGCTTTATATCAATTTGAAGTTCTTCTAAAATGGTATTGCTGAAATGGTTAAGACAACTTAGAAAATTTTGTTGGTACTTTTTTTGGAGGGGGGGGTGGATGAGAATCTCCCAGTATTTCATATTCTAGTGTTGGTAGCTATGGCATGTTTTTATTTTTAAAACTTGTATCCATTGGCTACATAATGTATGTTTCATTAAAGCAATTGTAGCTGTGCATTGCATTTATACAGAGAACAGTATTGATATATACACTGGTGAAATAATTAAGAGAATTTGCATATTTTATCGAATTGTATGAAAAGAATTGAACTGAATGAAAAACCACTGCTTCTGGATAAAAATGCAAATCTCGTACAGTAAAATATGTAAGCGTACACGTGTGTAGGCAAAGTCAGCAGAAAAACAGACTTTATAAGAGTGTGGAGGGTAAGACAAATTGCGTTCGCTAGCACACCTCGGTGAATTTGTTGGTGTTATCTTGCAGCAATCGGTTAAATTCACATCGGAACAGTAAAAATGAGTAACCATCAACATTTAGATGATGGAATGAGGTGGCAAATTGTGGGAAGGCTAGAGGCAGGACAATCGCAAGTCCAGATATGCAGAGAGTTTAATTTAACACCCAGCTTCATGTGTAGCCTATGGAAAGAGTTTCAGGATACTGGATCCATCGAGAGAAAGCCTGGGCAAGGTCCTCCAAGAGCCATAATGGCCAGAGAAAATCGCTATTTGTCCATTTTAGCGAGGCGTACAGAGGGGCTACAGCTTCTCAGCTCTTTCAGGACCTGTTGGCAGCCACAGGAGCCAGTAACAAGGGTGACTGTTTCCAAAAGACTGAATGAGAGAGGGTTGTTCGCCAGAAGACCGGCTGTTTGTGTCTTGCTCACGTCTATAGACAGGAGAGTCCAGCAGCATAGTGATTGGACTATGGAGCAATGGGCAACCATTCTGTTCACCAACGTGTCCCGTTTTAGCCTAAACACCGATTCTCACCGTACCTTCGGAGAGAGCCAGGGACCCGTTACGTAACCTCCAATGTCAGCAAAATCAACAATTATGGTGTTGGCTGTGTAACGGTCTGGGCAGGCATCATGTTGGATGGCCGCACACCTCTCCACGTCTTTGTCAGAGGGTCTGTGATTGGTGTGAGGTATAGGGATGAGGCCTTGGAGCCCTATGTTCACCTCCCGGGAAGCAGTGGTCCCCGAGTTCTTACAAGACGATAACCCGAGGCCACATAGAGCTCTTCTGGTCGGCGAATATCTCGAGAGAGAGGCTATTTGCCGGATAGATTGGCCAGCCAGGTCTCCAGACCTCAACCCTATAGAGCATGTCTGGAATGCTCTGGGGAGGGCAATTGCATCTCACAACCCCCGTCCAAGATATGGAGAGAGCTAGAGACCCTCTACCTAACCTCCAATGTCTGCAAAATCAACAATTATGGCGGTGTGATGGTCTGGCCATGCATCATGTTGGATGGCCACACACCTCTCTTTGTCAGAGGCTTTGTGACTGGTGGGAGGTATAGGGATGAGGTCTTGGAGCCCTATGTTCGCCTTTTCCGGGGTGCAGTGGGCCTCGAGTTCTTACAGGACGATAACCCGAGGCTGCATAGAGCTCTTCTGGTCGACAAATTTCTTGAGAGTTAGGATATTCGCCGGATGGATTGGCCAGCCAGATCTGCCAGACCTCAACCCTATAAAGCATGTCTGTGAATGCTCTGGAGAGGGCAATTGCAACTCGTCAGTCCCCCTCAGAGAACCATCCAGGAAACTGAAAACACTGCGTTGCGGAATGAGTGGGACCTGAATTGCCACAGGCACTTGATAAACTGCCTTACTTCCAATATGACATCACGCTGCGAGGTCTGTATGGCTGTAAGAGGGGAACCATGCCTCCTGTTAACCCATTTCTTTTGTATCTTTTGCAACCGCTGTTTCAGACCTTCAGACTCCCATGAATGTTACACACGAACATGTGTGTCTATTATAACTGTTGAATGTTTATTTTGTTTGTATTATATCAACCTATGTTCACACCAAATTTAATTAAAATCTGTCCAGTAGTTCTGGAGATCGTAGATCAAATATGAAAATTCTCTTAATTTATTTCACCAGTGTGCGTTTAATACATTAAAGTCACTTGATGGTATAGGTTTAAAAGTGATGCTGTATTGTGTAAATTAACAAAATTTTTGTACCCTGAAATTTTGGCTAATAAATCGGTCATTTTTAAAATTTTATCTTGGTTTTCAGTTATCTGATATTGCTGATGTACATCACCTGAATTATTCATGATTTTGCTGTTGTATTTTTTAAAATGTATTAAATAAGCCATTTTTCCCAACACTTCTTTCTCTTTTTTTCTGGAAACTACTGTTATTTACAATCAGGTTTTATGGTTAGTTAGTGTTATCATAGTTAAATGCTAAAAGTGACATTTATTTTCACAGGAAATTTTATATCTTTCTTTCTTTCTTAGATACTTTGCTGCTTTCCCTCCTCTCACTGGCAGAATTGAACAAGAACCTGAATTAAACCAGCCGGAATTTGCAAAAAATGTGTGGTGTGGAAATTGTTTTATGAAAACAAAATGTGATTTAGAAGAAATATATGAACCAACATACAATAATTCAAATGTCCAAAAGAAAGAAAATAAGAGTTTCCAACCTGTCATTCCATATAGTTCCTTAAAAGCCATAAAAAATGTATACAAAAATGAAAATACTGCAGTAATTTCTTCAAAACAAGAAAAGACAGTAATAGCTAACAACTTAAAATTGTCTCCCCATAGCAATAGCAACACAGCTCTTGTTTCACTTATTGACAGCTGGTCGAATAATAACCATAATAAAAAACAGAAAATTTCCATTAAACTTTTGATGTGGTCCATGAAATCTGTGTTAAAATTCAGATATCTTTCTCTGCCTTTTGAAAATCTACATTTGTGTTCAATAAGAAATTACTTGTATAGCAAATTAAACCTCTTAAGTTTAACTGCTGAAATGCCTGCTTGTAGAGTGGCAGAGACAATTTTCAGCTTTGAACATATTCAGTCAGTCCATAAGGAATTAGAAAATAATGACTGTAGCAAAATTTTGTTCGAGAAATCAGATGTTATCGCTCACAAAAGTGTGTTTTTTCAAGGGAAAACATGTATACATTTTGATCATGAAGAAAGTGAAGTTGGTTCAGATTCTTCAAATTGTGTAACTAAGCATTCTGGAGATCAGTCATGTAGGTTCATCAAACCAACTTTGCCATTGCATTCGTCTCTCAGAGTGGAATGTGTTGAAAATCCTTTATTTTCTAATTCCTCTATAAACAAAGAAAATACTTTAAAGTGTTTTTTAGAGTCTTCTACTAAAACTGATGTAAAAGCCTCTACATGCCTCTCGAACAGTGCATTTATTCGGCATTTGGAAGTGCACAACTTGGCAAAAGATCAGTGTGGTAGTGCTATTTTTAGCACCATTTCAAATGATCATGGAAATACCATGTTCTGTGCATCATCATTGAAAACCCTAACTTCCGAGAATATAAATGTGGGGGATATATGCCCTTGCCCTCAGCAAAATGTAGAAGAATGCATTCAGCCCAATCAAAGTACTTTATTTCCGATATTTAAAAGTTCTTGTTTGTTGAATCAGCAGAAAGAAAGTAAATTTTCAGAAGTTATGCCTTATAGAAAATATCAAAATATACTAAATGTAACTGATAAGGAGGATGAGATTTTTTATTCTGATAATGATTCATGTGAAATTTTTAATTCTGATGAAGAAAATTTATTTACATCATCCAAAACTCATTTTCAACCCATTCAACAGAACTTTAAGTTACATTTCACAGAAGTAGAACGGGAAGACCATAAGCGTAGTGCAATAAATGTTAATTTTACTTCCAAAAATAGTTTTGGAAGAGAACTGACATCAGCTTCGGTAGTTCCAGACAATTATTTAGGGCAAAAGTTATTAAAAAAAGCACTCTGCATCAATAGAGAAACTCTTCCTTTTGAAGTGAAAGTAAGAAATGATTCATCATCATCATTTGTTGATCAGGTTTCTTTCATTCAGTTAAATAAAAACTGTGAAAATACTGATGCAGGAATAGTTGATAAATTGAAATGTGTTCAGTTATTTAGAGATAATGAAATAAACACAGATAATGTCCACAATCTTTTATACTATTCTAAAATAGATAAGACAGCAAATATTCTAAATGAAGATAATTTTAATTTGCAGGCAAGCCGATTAATGCAAAATTGTCAAAAAATGATGGGCAGAAGTACATGCATGGAAGATAGCAGTGGAATAGAATATATATGGGAGAAAGAAATAGATAAGGATTATGCGAGAGAATTGCAAAAAACAAAAAAAGCTATTTTGTATGATAAATCAGCTCTTCGTAAGGAAATAAATGAAGAAGCTGAAGAACTTTTAAGAGGCTTGTTTTGTGCAGTTACCTTTGATAATGATAGTATTTCTTCAATATTAGACAATGAATTAGTTATGCCTGAGCATGTTTCATTACACTCTGAAGAAGTAAAGGAAGATTTTCAATTTATTATTGATAGAGATGTACCTGATAGTGATATTTTAGTGCCAAGTAAAGCAGTATCTAATGTTACTGATTGCAATAAAATTTTTAATGAAACTAAATTAACTGTGCCACTTCACAATGCTGATAATTTATACAGTATTGATATGGATGAAAATGAATTAATTAGAAGTCAACCACTAAACTCAGATCATTATGTTCTTGACAGTAAAGGTGAAACATATCAGGCAACTGATTTCTTTGATTTAAGTGCCTTCCAAGGTTCATTTGAAAGTCTGGAAAATCAGACAGTCAGGAAAGATTCTTATACTGAAGGTGGAGGATGGAGTCTTGCATCTGATAGCTTTCTGGAAGTGGATTCTGAAGCTTTCTATGATGGTTCATACTCCCTAGAAAACTTGGTGTGTATTATTAAGTTATATTTTTCTGAATTTTTTATAATGCTTTTTGAAAGTTTTGTTCCCAAGGTTCATTTTTTCTAACAAGGGTTTGTTTATAAGTAAAAACATCAAATGATTTTTAAGGTAGTAATAAAAGACAAATTTTTAAATGTGCAATTTTAATAACTCCAAATGATATTAGAATAAAGGTTAGCGAATGTATTGAATTGTAGCAATAAGCATATTTTCTAATTTTATGTCGAATGATAACTTATAGAATGATATTAATTTTGCATTGTTCTAGCACAAATTTAGATTTTTCTTTTCATTTATAAAAAGCAGGCTCAAATTTTAGCCCTTGAGCAGTAGTTGTCAAATTTTAAAGTTTAAGCAGTAGTGTGATCATGATGTTATTCCTTAAACTAGGACAATATAAAGTTGATGTTCATGGAAGTATTTTTAGATTTCATTTAACTGTGCATTTAATGCTGTTTGTTTATTATTATTTACTGATGGTATAATATCAGTAATATACTTCTTACTACAATGTGTAGTTGTAGTGAAAATGTTTTCTCAGGGAATTAAAAAATGACTTCATTCCTAAAGAGGGATAACTCATTTTATGAATTTGAAGCTTAATAATTTGCTAAATAATAAAATTTCAAATGTATTGCTGTTTTTTGGGGGTAAAACATAGCTAGAGAATTTTTTTGTGAAATTTTGAAAATCTGCATTTATAAAGATATGAAAAAAGCTTGCAGAATTGTATATTAAACCAGAACCACATACTGACATTAATTTTAGAGAAAAGGTTGTATTTCAAGGCAGCCAACTAATTACTGTGGTAAGTGGTAATTAATATCAGTCTAAAGTTGAATTTTGAAAAATTTCAGGGTTTTGTTCTTGAATGTCTTTATTAGAGTAACATATTATAAGGAGTGTGAATAATCATACGAGGGCTATCCAGAAAGTAGATTACGTTTTGGATTAAAAAAATAAACAAAGTATAGGAAACAAATTTTATTATATACAGATGAAAGCCACACTCAAATACTACTTTTCTACATAGTCACCATACAAATTAAGGCATTTATCGTAGCGATGTACGAGCTTGGAAATTCCTTCGTCGAAAAATTCGGCCGCCTGCGCCTTCAACCACTTCGTTACCTTTCCTGCCTTCCATCTTGCACAAAACTTGTGGTAACCAAGCTTTTCGCTGATGATTTCGTGCAACAAACTTCGCGAAATTTGTGGAAAACTCAAAGAAAGTTCCGTTATTGTGAAATTTCGATTTTCACGGACTTTAGCATCGACTTTTTCGAGAAGTTTGGCGGTCACTATGCTGGGTCTCCCACTTCGATCTTCGTCGTGAACATTGGTTCGGCCATTTTTGAAATCTTATGACCCACTGACGCACTCCACCTTCAGTGATAATGTTGTCCCCATACACTTCACGAAGCTGCCGATAGATTTCTATCGGTTTACAGTTTTTTGCAGTCAGAAACCTTATTACTGAGCGCACCTCGCAGCTCGCGGGATTTTCAATTAACGCAGACATTTCAAACCGTCACAGTATCTGAACGGAGCACAGCACGAACCTCTCACTAGCACGGCTAGATGCAGACTGAGCTGCGCAACGCTCTGACCCCAAGATGGCCGCGCTAGCCCCGCCCCTAGCGGACACAGACGGAAACGTAATCTACTTCCTGGATGGCCCTCGTACAAACAAGTAAACACATTTTTTCCATTATAGGTTCCACTATAAATGTCTTTAATAAGTGTGATTGATTTTCCCTCATCATTGTTTGGCCTACTTTGCATATTTTGAATTTGGCCTACTGTTTTATGTTTCATGAATGGTTTTTAAAATATAACATTTGTTTAATTCATAAAAAACACGTTTAGCAAAATATATGAATCTTGGCTATAAATATTAAAATCTATCTTAAATTCCTTTTTCTTGTTTAACTAAGAAAAAAATTTCATATGTACTATTTTCTAAGCTTTTTTTACATCACACTTAAAAATTTACTTTGTTTTAAATTTTGATATAAAAATGATTTTAATATACATGGTTGATAATATTTTTAATTGAATGAGAAATTATAATATTAACTTCTCAGAGCTGTAATTTACTGAGTCTTAAAACTCAGAAATTTTAGCTTCATTTTTATTTTCTCTTTGAATAACTTTAGCATTTTTTTTCATGGCTGATGCAAGATTTTCTGCTTTGCTCATTTAAATTAATGAATAATCTGGAAACATATGGTCACTGATTAATGCTTTCTATCAGTGTCCAGTAGCTGTCTGCAGCTGAATGCAAAAGCAGATTTCTGCTTATAGGTTATTGCAGGAAATATGCAAATTGGATGACTGGCATTGTGCAGAATAGAAGCATGTTGGAATTTCTGTGTGTAGTTTTTGTTAAAGCTTGTGTGATTTTTTATGGTTATTAGTATTCATTAGTAAAGACTCAGAGTAATCATTTAAGGGTGAAGTGGCCATTGATTGGTAGACTTCAAGAGGAGATGAACACAAATGTAAGTCGCCCATGCGATATCAATAATATGCAATCTGTAGAAGCTATAATTAGGCATTTTACTGCTACCTAAAGGTTTAATAAGGTTAGATTTTCTTGTGAGAAAAGCATTTTTTTGTCCCACTTACTTCTGAATGAGCCCATTTAAAGGGGCGTTGCCATATTTGGAGGCACAAAGAGACTCTCTGTTCTTTACCAACTAGTTCAGATGTGGTTCTAGATGTGTTTTGATTTGTAGAACCGAGGAACCTTGTATTCCATTCTTCAAGGAAGGGGCTGTTTCTGCAGAAGTGTTTTCCATCTTTTGGAGTGAAATCATCTAAAATGGCCGCACTGAGTTGTATATCTTTCATAGAGGTTCTGCATTCTGTAACCAGTCCAAATATCTAGGCAAGATTTTGGAATTCAGTGTAAGGCTGTTTAGAGATACTGTTGGCGCAAATTATTTGTTAATGGGTTACAATGCTCATCCACATTGAGCATCTCTAGTGTCAGAATACTTTGAAACAAAAGATATTACTTTAAAGCAATAGCCAACCTACTAACTGGAATTGAACACAACTGAGCATGTGTGGGATGCTTTAGGCGAGCATTTCTTAAACTGTGAGTCGCGAAGAGGGTTCGTGGATCTGCAGCAGGGGGTCGTAAAAAAATTTAGCTTTTTTTATATTTCTTTAACTTATTATAATAATTTTACAATTACCAAATATTTTTACACAAATGCATCAGAAAAGATAAAATAATACAAACAAAGAAAAAAGGAAAACGTTTCGACACATTCTTTTCATAATAGAAATGTTCATTTTACTTGCTTTGCATGTGAGCCTGTTATTTTATCTGTTACTTATTTAAAATTTTCACATTGTTCTATGTCTTAACATAAGAAATTAATGTCCTTGTTCTATGTCTTAAAATTAGAAATTAAAGTTAATGTCCTAAAACTACAATACAGTCAAAATTCTTTAATCCGGATGTCCATAATCCGGAATGATCTATCCGGACCTCAAACTACAAACTTTCTGCACATGCGTCAACGCATACGCATGATACCTTTACGCATGTGCATAATACGTTTATGCATGCTCGTTTAATGTATAACGGATGGTATAAGCTAAGCTAAAATTATCTAATTATCTATTTCAGTTAATGTTGCAGATTGCGTTGTTCCTTAATTTTCTAATTGAATCCGGCTTATTATTTTTTGCAGACTGTTAGAGCAATTTTATAAAAGTAAGCTTGAACTTTCGATTATGTCAAAAAAGAATTTCCGCTTCTGGAGCTACCAAAGGATCTACAAAGCGAAAGAATGTTTCAATCTTCATCAAACAAAAGTGGAATTGCTGTGAAAAATGGATAAAGGCATATCCTTTGATTCTCTAAACATTCCGAAATATGTTTATCAATTTCATGCTGCTCTGCGGGGGGGAGGGGCAGGGACGATGCGGCGCGCAATGAACTGGAAGTTGATTTGTCAATGCTAACCTTATCTTCAAGGCAGATGTTTTTATTTTATTCGGCTTATAATTCCTTACTAAATGTAGTATTTCATCTCGATGTACTCCGTCTTTGATATGGTTTAAAATCAAATTTCTTGTCATTATAAATATCATGAATAAACATCAAATAGTTTTCTGGTTGCAATTTTCTGTGTTATGCTTTACCCATGCACGCGTTGAAAGAAATGTTTAATAAAGTAAACAAATAAATATTAAGCTTTTTTTTTTTGTACATTTTGATACCCTTTAGATCATAATTGCTCTTTATTTCATTAATTACATTTCCATATTTTTAATTTTATAATTTCTGCATGCCATCTTACCAGTGCTGATCTATAATCCGGAATCGCCGAAGTCCCGACAAGTCTGGATTAAAGACTTTTGACTGTAGTATATTACAGTACAAGTGAAAAATTGACAGTTTCACACACATGTGTGTTGGGTTTGCGTAATGCTTATGGAGTCGCACAAAATTTTCATAAATATCATGGGGTCCAGGGGTCGCGAAAAAATCGCGGTGATAAGAAGGGGCCACGACTGAAAAAAATTTTAAAAACCCTGCTTTAGGCCACTGAATTGAAATGCACGCCTTTCCCGATACTTCAAAATCTGAAAAATGTACTTTCAGTAGAGTGGCAGGCAGTTCTATTACACTGATCAGCAGTTTGGTAAATTCTTTCAAATCAAGGTGTCAGGCTTAAATTTCTTTCAAAACTAACCATACATCATATTAAAAACATATGATGCAAAACTGGGGCTAACATATTTAAATTTCCTTGAATTTCAGTTTAAATTGGATATATTGAGATTAGTCAGTTGGTGAAGATGTTATATAATGCTTTTGTTGTAAAATGTTTTAAATTACTTTCCAATAAGTAAATGCTAAATTTTTATTTCTGTCACTTGTGTGTAATACTTGTTTTCCACAGGAGATCTTGCACACAAAATGCCACTGTCCACAGGCATCCTCTAATGACTCTTAGCTGTAAATAGAATCAATTAAAATATTTAATTGAGAATAAAAATTGTTCTAGAGTTTTGCCACTATACATAACTTCTTTTTTTTTTTTTTTAAATAAAACTTAGAACAATATGTATTATAACAAGTATAAGCAAATTCAGCATTTTGTGTTAAAATTAGACGTAATGGCATTTCAAAAAGTGTTAGTGTTGAGATATCTAGTTTAAAAGATCAAATGCTTTTAATATTTGGAATCCTGAAACTTTTATTATTTTTTAGGCTGAGTGGCGATATTCAATGGGGGTACTAAAATGACAACCTTCTTAAAAATGTTTAATAACTCACACTATTATATACAGTCACTCAAATATGCTCTTTTGCAAAAAAAAATGGAAGCGCCAAGAAGGATTTTGCGATCGGGACGAAATTTGGTATGCAAAAACCTCTTGATCGAATATGCAAATGATTAAAGTTTCAAGGCAAATGAACAAGAATTGCAATCATAGCATACAATTTGCAAACAAAGTATAAAACCAGTAACAGAAGCTGACAATTAACCCTTTTTTTTTTTTTTTTTTTTTTTTTTGTTTTTGTTTTTTGTTTTTCTGATGTAATTTTGTAAAGTAGCAACTAAAGATGCTATTGCAATGATATCAAAAACCTTACAGACAACTAAACAACTTTGAACATGGTCACATTGTAGGGTTGCTTGAAGCTGGTTTGTTATACCGATCAATAGGCCACCACCTGCAGCGTACAGACACTGCTGTGCAAAAATGTTGGCAGCAATGGTTCCTACAAGGAAATTGCCATCAAAATGAAGACTCTGGAAGGCCAAGGAGCTCAAATGCAAGGCAAGGTAGGATGATTGTTCGCCAGGCCCAAACTGCCTCAACAGTGTCATTGTCGACTATTCAACGCACTACAGCCACGTCTATACCTCCCATGTTACAGTCCATCTCACAACACTTGTCTGAGGTGGGATTACCCTCTCAGAGCCCTTTAAGACATTTGCTTTTGACCACACAACATCAGCGGAGTCGTCTGGAGTGGTGTCGCAGCCGATCATCATGGCTGCCACCAGACTGGCATCATATAGTGTTCAGCAATGAATCCCGTTTCACTCTTGAAGCAGATGACCACAGTGTTCATGTCTGAAGAGGACAGGACCAGCAGTCCCAATCAGCCTTTGTTTTACAAAGGCATACAGGTATAACCCCTGGTCTGATGGTGTGGGGTGCTATTTCTTATGACAGCAAGTCATCTTTAGTCATCCTATGTACATCTTTAACAGCTCAACGATATGTTGGTACCATCCTGCGGTCAGTTGTAGTACCCTTCATGGCACGTCATTCTGGGGCCATTTTCCAACAAGATAATACCAGGCCACATACCGCTCGCATATCTCTGGACTGCATCCGTGCGGTTGATACTCTTCCTTGGCCAGCAAGGTCACCAGACCTTTCACCAATCGAGAATGTCTGGGACATGGTAGGCCGCCAGATTCAGGCACCACAAAATATCACAGATTTGGAGCAACAACTGATTACTGCCTGGCAGAATGTGTCACAGGATGACATTAGGAACCTCTACCACTCCTTGCCTCAACAAATTCAAGCATGCATTGCCGCCAGGGGCGGTTCGACCAATTACTAATTTGAACACTCAATGGGTGATTGTGAGCCGTGAACAGGTACTATGACCTTCATTTTTTAATCATTTTATCTGTGTATGAGCTATACACATATTCAATTTCATCAAAAACAACCACTTCCTTCATGGTGCTCTGATTTTTTTGCAAAAGAGTATAGAATTGATTGCTAAACGAAAACTATAGCACTATGCAAAAATTAAATGAAGTGAGCTTTTTAATTTTTAAAGCCAAGTACTGCCAGTTAAAATCGAATTATTTGTATTACATCTATATGTATGTGTAATCGTATTTGTAGCCAAGAGCGTGTGTAGTTGGGATTGGAAAAATTATTGTGAGTCAGCAGAAATCAGTGATGTGCATTCTCATCATCTAGGCACTGATGACCAGTATAGAAGGAACTTCAAAATAACATTTTATTTATTTATCTTTATTGATATGTTGTAACTTTTTCATGAAAATTCTGAATTCAGTTATTTTGTGGGTTTTATTATATTTGGATCTGTGAATGTTGTCTACAAAATTAGTGTAATAAAAATAAATTTGCAACGATTAAATATGCCGTGTGATAGGTTGAAGCATTGAGAAGAAAATCGCATAATAGTTAACTCTACATAGGAGAATTACAGGGTATTCAGAATAGCAATGTATAAATTTAGTTTAGAGCAGATGTTGTACAAGAAAAATTATAACATAGTTTGTGTAATTTTTCTGAGGGTTTGTGCTTCCTGGTTTCAAAACTTGCATATTGGATGGGTGTGAATCAAAGGCTGTATGTAACTTTAAAAGTTTCTGACTTTTAACATGCAAGATTTATGTCAGCCTTTAATTCCATGCTACTTTCGGGAGCTTAGTTATATGTATTACGTTTTTGCAACATTTTAATGAATATCAGCTGTCGCATTTTTAGATGAGCTTAACTGAAACCTAAATTTTAAGGTTGTGTTTGGCAGGAGTCATGCAGTTCTGTGAGAAAATAGAATACAAAGCTTTATAATATAATGATTGATTTCACCTATTATACTGAACTATTTTTTAAATCTCATCTTATGTCCAAGGTAATTTTTCTATCTAGTGTAATTTTGATGCTCAAAAAATACAAGAACAAAGTCAGATTTAGCAAGTCATTTAAAATTTTATGTGAATTATATATAGTTTTCAAATCTGAAACCAGTGTATAATTTTATTATTTCCTGCAAAGTATATTTTCTTATCTTTTCCTCGCTGTTTGTGGTAACATAAGCAATTTTTTTGCTTGGAGCCATTTCAAATGTTTTTCATTCTTTTCAAAAGTTTACTACTATATTTCATGTGGTATCATAGGTATAAGTGTTACTGAAATCCTCTTTGGGAAGCATTTTTCATAGTTGGTGGGCATTTTTAAAAAAAAAATCCCTTCCTGTATTTTTGGTGAAACATTTGAGGTATTACACTAGAAATTCTTATATTTCTAATTTTGTTTCCAGGATACAGATGAAACAAAAAAAGAATGCTATAATTTTGAACAAGACAGGCAGAGTTATCCCTCAGAAACTGAAGAATGTATTAAGATGAGTTTCTTTTATAAAGGGCCTTCAAATTATATCCGCAAGCGTATGAAACAAAGTAAGACAGTATCTGGTTTATGTATTCTAGTCAAAATAATTACTTTATGAATTATATATGTACCATAAGTATAACTGTTGTATGTACTAGCTGGATTAAAAAAAAAAAATAAGTAGTAGATTATGGAATTTTCTTCTGTAGCATAAGTGGAATATTACACATTAGGTGGCAATTTCTTCCAGCATATGAAAATGTGATATTGTTTATTAACCGGAGAAAACAAGTAATGTGTGGAAATTGTGGCTAAGAAGACCAGTTTGTGAATTTAATTTCAGAATTACAAATCACATTCATGTGTGTGTTTAAGTAATAGATGTGATTTCACTTCCCTAGTGTTTCACTCAAAATGAACTGCTGTATGCAGTCTCATTTAATTTGTGATTTTAAGGGTATACCTTGAAATTGTGCTGTGTGTCCAAAGTAACATGATGGAAATTTAAAAATTGCAAAAGGTAATTAAATCTATTTTAAGCAGTTGAGACGTAAATGATTTTAATGTGCAAGATGTCTGAAATGCTTGTTCTCTGCAGTTAACCATATTGAAGCGATATATTAAAATAGTCATTTCTGTAATCAAATGCACAGTAATAATAATATTTGTATTATAAATATTATTTGCCCCCACCCAAAAGAACTACTGATCAGTTTATTTGGGGGGGGTGATGTAGCCTTTGCACTCTAAGATCACATTTAACTTAATATGGCAATTAACAGATTGCACTTAGATTGGTGCATTAAGTATATTTTACCTTATCTCTTAGGTAAAATATAATTAATGCACATCAATTTCTGCAAATAAAGAAGAAGGTTGTGCGGGTGAATTTGATTAAAAATCTTGCAGCAGGTATGATATTGACTTCTGTATTGTTGTCATGTTATGCTGTGTTAATTTCTTGTTCACACTAAAGTATTTATATTTTAAAAAAGTATTTTTAGCTAATTCACTCTAACATATGCCAGATGAACAAATATGATACTGAGGCAAAGAGCGACTTAGTGTGGAATATCTGGGAGTGTGTAATAACCACTGTGATAACAATGGTGCATGTTTAATTACAGCCACTCAGATCAATGAGCTTTATTCTGTGTATTACAAAGAGCAGATCTGTTACATAAACCATCCTATGTTTGTGAGGGGGGTGCTCTCCAAAGGAAAAGTACATACTGAGTGTGATAGCTTAAATATCTGATGGCAACAATTTATAGCTGCCAGAAATAACTTTCAAAAATTAACAAATATTCTCTATTCGTAGAAAGCAAATATAAAATTGAATTAAGAAATTTAAATTGCAAAATAAATAAATAAATAAAAGTAATCATTATTGCTGCGAACTAATTTACAATATGATTTAAATTCTAAGAGCATATGTAAATTAATTGCACATATTTAAAACCATGAAAAAATATATTATTCCAAAAAATTGCATAAGTGAATAATAGTTGAGCAGGCAGGAGACAGATTTATCAAGGGAAAGTTGCCCCCAAACCTAACTCTTCAATTACTCAATTCGTGTTTCGTCATCCATATAGACAAGGGTAAAACTCAAAACCAAAAGTAAAACCAAATGTTGTGAATTACTAAAAAAGAAATTTAAACGGTGGAATTTTGATAAAATAGCAAGTAAATGACTAGAGTTAAAATTAATTAGAGTTAAAACTAGAGTTAAAATTAATTAGTCAATTAAGAGTAGAAAACCAAATTATTTAGAAAACTAAAGTAATTTAGTAACTCTTGCCTACTGGAAGCTTCCCCAACACGAATTGTATGTAAACCTAAAATGAACATGTAAACCTAAAATGAACTATATACAAGTACCAAAATATAAAAATAATAAAAAAAATAAGAAGAAAAGGCTAGTGAATAGCAGGTTTTAACTTAACTTACCTAGATCTATGTATTTGAATTTTTGAGTTGTACAAGCATTTGCGAAACTTAGTTGAGCTGAGTAGTTTGTTACTGCTAACTGTAATAAAAGAGGTCTCTAATACAATGTAAAGTTTAGTGTAAAGCTGCCACATGTGAGAGCTATCGTAAAAACCTATGCTGTAAATTTTAAAAATGTAAAAAGTAAAATGCTTGTTTTGTGTGCAAAAATATTGCAAACTTTGAGTCATGTTAAAAATTGTAAAAAATAAAAAATATGAACTACTAACTTAATCATCTTTTATGTATTTTATTCTTATGAATTTAGAGAACCCTTCAAGCAAACAGTACTTTCGCCTTCAACCACATAAATTCCCAAGACCATTTTCTCGATTATAATTCCAAAATGACCCTCCCAATTTCCGCCTTTTTTTCCAGAATATATGTGTTTTTTTATAGTATGCATATATTTTATGATGTCCGTATACTTAAAAATATGATATGGTGTAGCAGCCTATAGGGTTAATGTATGGCTGCATATTTATTTTTCCAGAACCTTTAGAAGTTTTGATCTCTAAGAATAGAAACTTCCATGGGCAATCAAAACTATTTAAAATTGTCAGTGGTTGTCTTGGAAAGGTTTCACTAATTTTTTGGAAAATGGCTCATTTCATGTATTCAATTAGATATATGTTCTCACAGTTTCACTGATTTGTTACCACCTATATTTTATGTTCTGTACCTTTGCTGTTATTTGCTTAGGATAGCTAAATTATATGTATAATGCTCGCTTAAACAAAAAATTCTGCAGTAGACAGCTGGACACGCTAAGCCCCACTCCAAAAAGAGTTAATAGTGGTATAGAGTCCGGTTTCAAACTCATAATTTTTATTTTGTTGCAATATACAGTTATTTTTTTTTACATGTGCATTGATTAAAAAACATTTTTTGCTGTATGTATGTATTTATGTAAACATCAGTCAGTGTAACTTTCTTTTAAGGAATGGGATTTTACTTTTTGTGTGTTTTGCCCACTTTATACATGCCTGCGCATGTCCTAGCAGTGCAAATTCCATGTATAATGCTAAAAGTAACTCGACAGCTCGTCTGAAATTACTTGATCAAGTCTGGATCTATCTGGGTTTGTTTTGTTTTGTTAGGATGTAGCCCGGTCCACCTTGCAAAACAAAGTTTGCCCTATGACCACATACGGGCTACGCCAGTACAAAAATCACCACACAACTATACAAATACATGAATCACACATTGCCAATGGCTTCTTTATTGTTGTTAATAATCATAATCTTGTGTACTATTCCTCTTGCCCTAAGTAAACCATCTTTGATAAAATCTCTGTTTGCTCCATCAATGCATCTGGTTAACTTACATTCTGTAATAAAGTGGACATTGTCTCCTACTTTTGTACATACTTTACATAAATCATTATCTTGAACATGGAATCTTTTCAGATAAAAGGGAAATCTCCCATGACCTGTAATTAATTGATTCAAGTCAATGTCATTGTTAATATTCATATTTTCCTTAGGAACAAAAATCTTCATGAACATATTATGTTTAGCAGAGTTTTCCCATTGAGTCCGCCATTTATCTACAATGTCACACTTCATAATGTTAATGCATCTTCTCCTGGAGGCTTGTATATCAACAGTTTCAATATCATTACTCATTGTTGCCTCCTTTGCTAAGACATCCGCCCTCTCATTGCCCAAACAACCAATATGGGCTTTAACTCAATTAAAATTCAATTGATGCCTTACCTCCAATTGTATCACAAATTTTTTAATAATTTAAATATTTAAATTTTGCTGCTCGGTTTCAGAGAGTGCTTGAAGAACTGACATACAATCATAATGTATTGTAATTTATATGTGATTCATTTAGATTTCTTACAAGTCACTCCAAGGCTTTTTGTATAGCAATCAGTTCGGCTTGATACTCGAATTATATTTTAATTTAAACTTCGCATGTTCAATCTCCAGTCCATGATAGAACACTACAAATGCTAAGGCAATTTTTCCATCCAACCCCAAGCCATCCGTATAGACATCAATATCATTAAATACAGGAATACATCTGTTAAAAGTAATTGATCTTCTTTCCCTTGGATGTAAAAGATGACAATTAAAAATATAAAAAGCAGTGTTAAAAACAATATCATCTGTATATGTATAAAAGTCAATCTTATTTGATCTCAATAAAACATTTTTATAATAAAAGTCATAGGACAACGAGATGGGCAGAATGCCTGCAAGTACAATGTACGTCCAGAAAGTAAGTTCCGTTTGGTAATAAAAGTAAATTGTGTACAGCTACAGAAAAGTTATTTATTGCACAAAATTCAACAACTCTTAAACTACTTTTCCACATAACTGCCGAAATATTGCAGGCATTTGTCATAGCGTGGCACAAGTTTTTGTATACCTTCTTCATAGAAATTTGCCGCCTGTGTCTTCAACCAGTTGGAAACAGTTTCTTTCAGCTCGTCGTCATTGTTCAAGTGTTGACCGCCAAGGAAAGACTTAAGATGTAAGAACAGATGAAAGTCGCTAGGAGCGAGGTCAGGGCTGTACGGAGGATGGTCAAACACGTCCCAGCCAAATCCCTGTAGGAGGTTTTTCGTCACATTTGCAGTGTGTGGTCGTGCGTTGTCGTGAAGAAAAACAACACCTTTTGACAGCAATCCTCGGTGCTTATTCTGTATTGCGCGGCGCAATTTCCGAAGTGTCTCGCAATAAGCATCTGCTCTGATTGTTTGACCACGCGGTAAGAAATCAATGAGTAAGATGCCTTTCCAGTCCCAGAGCACTGTGCACGTCATTTTTCGAGGTGTCAAGATTTGCTTCGGCTTAACCTTTGCTGGGGATGAAGTGTGCCTCCATTCCATTGATTGCCGCTTACTTTCAGGGGTGTCGTAAGAATCCCAAGTTTCATCTCCTGTGACTATCTGTGTCAGAAATTCTTTGCCGCTTTCAGCATAATGTGTCAAAAACTGAAGTGCACTACCCATCCGTTTTGTTTTGGGTTGCTCAGTAAGAATCTTTGGTACCCAACGTGAGCAAAGTTTACGAAATTTCAGTTTTTCGATAACAATTTCATGCATTAGTGATCGTGAAAT